GGAGGCTCCCCCAGCCGCGTCCTCTCGCGTTGATTCGGAGTCCAAGTCTGTGAACAGAACCACAGGTCTGACCAGGCACATCATCAACACAAGCACCCGCCTGCTGAACCTTCGGCAAGTCCCCAAAGCTCGCCTGGCCGAGCAGGGAGCAGATGTGGTGGAGCCCTCGCCGAAGCACACCCCGAACACCTCTGACAACGAAAGCAGCGACACCGAGGTGAGCGGGCCCAGCAGCCCCTCGAAACGCGCGGCGGGCACCGGGATAAAGCTGGTCCGCAAGGAGGGCGGGCTGGACGACAGCGTCTTCATCGCCGTCAAGGAGATCGGCCGTGACCTCTACAGAAGTTTACCCACAGAGGAGCGTTTTCAGAAATTAGAGTTTATGTTGGATAAGCTGCAGAATGAGATAGACCAAGAGCTGGAAAATAACAACTCGCTCGTTAAAGAAGAAAAAGAGACGACTGACACAAGGAAAAAAGCCTTGATTTCTGCTGCGCTGGCCAAGTCGGGGGAGAGACTGCAGGCCCTCACGCTGCTGATGATCCACTACAGGGCAGGCATCGAGGATATAGAGTCCCTGGAGAACATGTTATCAGAGCGGCAGTCCAAAAGAGTGACTAAAGACTCCGAGGAATCCAGTATAGCAGAAGAGATGGATAGCGAAGATGTCAGTCTGACGGAGGCTCCAACACTGAACATCATATCGGAAGAACCGGTTGAGCCACCTCAATCAGGAGACTGATATTTACATATTTAGTCTTTGAAGGAATGGACTGAAAGAATGCTTTCCACTTAACTCCAAACACACACAAATTAAATTAAAACACTGCTGTAACGTATGTGTCCTGCTTCTCCACAGTTAATTGCTAAAAATGGTTCTTCTCCAGCTACAGCACCATCATTTTGTTAAACTGGCTGGTTAGAACTACATTTTGGGGTTTATATTGGAAATTTATTTTTAATAACTTATTTTTATTTTTTTCTAATTATGTAACCCTACCATTTCACATCAGTGTGTGTGGTTTCCTTAATGTATTACTTGCCCCCACTTCCCCTCCCCTTTTTTTTGGGTTTTTTAGCTATTGTTTTCAATGGGAAACTGGCAGGATTTTCAAAATGTTTAGTTTCCATTGTATGATGAAAACATTATAAGCTTGTTGCATGCCTAAGCTGATGACTGGCACAGAAGTCACTGAGGGGCCAGGCTTTAAGGTGTTGATCACAGTTTTATTGTGTCTTCTCGGTAGTTGTGTATTTTTTGCCAAACATATCGTGAAAGCAAAAAAAAAAAGGTCTTTCCTTTTTGTGTGTTACTAATACTGAAGTTAACATTGCATATCTTTTGTTTCCCATATTTTTGTTAATTACAAAAACTTTTCATAGTTTGTGATTAATATGGAATATAGTAATCCTTGCTAAAAAAAAATCCTCCTTAGGGCCTTGGGCTATTGTATCCTGATTGAATAATATTAGATATCAAACTACATGCTGGTATCTCGTAACAATTGGGAATATTTTTGAGATAAGAGGCTGGTTGTCTTCCAGAATAAAACCATATGTTTAAGTGTTCTACTATCTGATAACCTGGTAAAGGAAAAGTGTTCTTCATAAGAGTTGGAGGTTTCATTGCATTCTGTGAAAAAACATGGTTTAAATAATAGAAAAAAAAGTAATATTTTGCTGCAGACTATCATTTTGGAAAGCTTAAGGTACAAAATAATAGCTCAACATGTTCTCTAAACACTTTTGAGTAATCATATAGTGTGGTGAGTTGCATTCAGCTTCTCAGACAAAAGACACAGTCTGAGGAGAAGGATCACCTTTGTCAGCAAATGTCCTATAGTGTATATAACATGTTTTATTTGAGTCAGTCTGTGAGTCCAGTAGAGATGAGGAAGAAGTTCAGCCAGCTGCTTTTGAAAAGAACTGTCTGGTCTTGTGCTGTGTGTAAACTGTGGATCTTAGCATATCCTGGCTAAGGCCATTGTTCTTATTTATTTCCTGTAAACGTGTCTTTGTTTCATCTTCTGTGTGTAGAAATTTTGTATAAAATATCATCTTTATTTTAGGTACTGTGCTAGGTACTTGTATCATTATCACTGGTATTGCTGGTAGTAGAAAAAGATGCCTTTGTGGGAGTGGAGTTTAAGATGGTAATTAACTCCTTTGATTTTTGAGGTCATCTCTAATGTACCTCTCCTTTAGATTTGCTTCTCAGTTTATTCTGTGATGGGCAAAATTAAGAAGCAATGGTTTTCACCATGGAACAGCATACCTGTGCTTCTAAAAAAAAATGGTTACTTCCATTCATGCAACTACTTGCACTTTTTCGTGAGTTCTGGGCAGTTGATACTTAGTTGATGTATGGAAAACACTATCCATGCTAAAATAGGCATGTGACACACTTCTGAAATTAAGCTTCAGCAAATAATCGCACAAAATTAGCCTTCCTTATTGACTAAAAGTTATTTAACTATACTTGCTTGAGATGCATATTAAGAGTTCCCCACTCCATTTTCTCGGTGGCTTACCATTGGTGGTGATCTGCATTCAATCCCCATCAGTGTTTGCTCTTATGGACTACTCTAGAGGTTTTCAAATCTATCCAAGTGCTTCGTTTAAACCCTGGTGCACATGAAGGAGCTGTGAAAACAATGCAAATACTGATTTCAAACAAGCAGTCGTGGTTTTAAATTGACTCGTGTAACACAGTGGGTAAGAAAAGCTGGATATAGTTTTCCTATAGTGTTGCTGATGATGATGATTGTAAGAGGAAAATTAAACGTAGTGCAATATTTTTAAATATACCGAATGGGGAAAGGGCAAAATAGTTGTATTTTAGTGACAAGAAGGAAAACATAAATTTCTGTCTGGCATTAATTACAGTAAACAGTGAATCTCGAGGGGGAAATTGTAATTCTACATTCCTGATGTAATCTTTGCTTTATGCTTGACTGTAAATAGCTGAAAATAAAGAATACCACAGAAAACAAGAATATCTTGACTTAATGACATCTGAACGGGTGGCAGCTACACACATTTGCAGAAAACCTGCCTAATATGATTTTGTTGGCTATTATTTTATCATGAGAATAAGCTTTAATAAAATAGTTTTGCTAAATTATCAACTTCTTCGCATCGTGTCAGTATTTTTTAAACATTTCCATTGCAGTAGCTTATTTAAAGCCACAACTTAAAGGAAAGATCTTTGGGAGAAAACCACCTTTTGCATTAAGCTCAGACTGCTGATTCCTGGATTAATTTGGCTTCTGTGCGTTTTCTGTATTTGCATATGCAGTTATTTTTATTCTACACAGTTTAATAGTAGACAGATTGCTTTCAAAATGGTGATTTCAGTTGATTGTGTAGCTAGAGAATCTTAGAGAATGCTAAGGACATTTGTGGGTTTTTTTTAAGACCTCTGAGCACAAATAATAATTTAAGGCAGTACTGGTGATAGTGGCTACCACCAGAGTTATATCAGGGGAGAAGATTGTTTCCTCTGATAGCTCTGTCCTTCAGAAAATGTTAATGGATAATAAATAAACAAATCCTTACTTCTTCCTAGCTCATTTTTATCTCATCAGCTTTTCCTTGTAATTCCCTACCTGTATGCTGGGGCTTTTTTCTCTCTCAGTTTTGAAATAAAGCATTTGTGGAAGTTTACAAATACAGAGGAGGAATAAGTAATGAGAGAGAATGAACTAAGTGACTTTACCACGTGTTAACTGACACAGATCAAAATACACAAAATAGGAAAGAAGCCAAATTTTTCAAGGACAGAATGGAAATTTTTGGGTTTTTTCAGGGAGTAAAATTTCTTCCTGACTGACAGCAGGAAGTGTTTTGTTACTTATTACTCCAAGAATCCAAAACAACTGCTAAATTTCTGTTTGGGTGTGGGGAAAAGTGGCATAGAGTGTGTAAACACGGGTGTCTGTGGAAACAGGGGTGTCTGTTAATTGTCTGCCTTCTGGAGGAGCAAGAGCAGGGGAGTCACACTGAACTCTGTGGGTCTGCTCAGCAAATCGAGGTAAGGTGCTGCTCTCCAAGGCCCCAGCAGAAACCTGGCTCCATCTGCAGGAGAGGAATGTGATTCATTAATCCAGCCTTTGCTCTTCTCATAATCATGTTGCAGATTAATGCAAACTCCTCCTTCATTTTGATGTGCACAAAAACACAAAACAAAGCAATGAAGTCAGCCATTCTGTGCTTTTCAAAAAATATATGTGAGTTGCTATGTTTGAATTACTTTTATACTTGTGAATTTAAGCAATACATTGGTTAATCAGCTGGCAAAAAAAATTTACACGTCCTGTAATAATTTAGAATTCCAACATTGGTATGTTGTTTCAAATTTAATTGGATTAACAACTTGATGTTGACCGAAAGAGTTCAGTGAAATAAAATAACTTATCTCGGGGCAAAGTAACATCTGAGCCTAATGTACATAGTCATCAATCTGCACAATTATTACTTACTCTGTGGCTCAAGATATGACAGAATCTTGGTTTGTGCTGGACCAGTGTCTGTCTCCAAACACCTCTCAGCTTGGAAGGAAGGGTTTCCATCTGTTACATATATTCAAAAGAATGCAATTGAAAATACACCACTGCAAAGAATCTGTGAGTGGGTTTTTTTAAAATCACCACAGGACATACTGCTTGGCCTTTCACACCACTGAAGCCTCTTGGGATGCTTTCTCAGATCCTCACTCTGAGTAAAGGAGCACACAAAAGTTTCTCCTGGTACTGCAGATCTTGGTGTTACCCCTTTCCAGAAAGTTACATCTCAGACCAGTGGGCACATGACAGACTGATTTTGGAAGTATCATGATTACTTAAACAAGTTTCATGTATTTATAGCCAGGAGTGAAAATAGTTGTCCTGAGTTACCACTGAACAGCTCTGAGGAGTTTTTTTCCCACCACCTGAAATACTTGTTGGCTTTTCCCCCCTTGGTGAAACACGATGCATAAGGCAAATTATGAGGGGAATTCTTTCTTTTTTAATTTTTTTTCCACTTTATTACAATAGATCATGAACTTCTGTCAGATAACTTTATTTTAATGCGTTCTCAGTGGGTAATTATTGACAGAGCAACACTTGAAGTTTGATCCACTATAATTCTCATATTTTCTGACCATAGTATATACGCTTTACAAAACTATATGTAAACATAGTATCTATGCTGTAGTACAGAAAACATCTGCAATTACATGAAAGAAGGCACATAAAGATTTTAATTTTATAAGTGAAGTAATACACCACAGATGAGAAGGACATTGGGATTGGTTTAAAATGCTTTTTTCCCAAGTGTTTTTTCTCAATGCAGATAGGGACTGCCTAATACTTTACCTGTATTGGACTGTGTTCCCAAATGTTGAGATTTAGATTGGCAACAAACTGGTTATTTTTTCCTTTTTTTTTTTTTTTTTAAGCAAAGTTGATAATTTAACTTACTTTAAAAAAATAAATATATATTAAATTTCCAGATGTGTATGCAAATGCATGTAAGAGCTGTTTGTTTAAACTGCTTATGGCAGTCACTTTTAGTACCTGCTAAGACAAAATACTGTAACAATGCAGCTTTCCTTAACCAGTCACTTATGATGCAACAAAACCAAAGTTAAGATATGTTAAAAGAGTCAAAAGAAATATAAAAAGGGATCCTCATGCTGTTCTCACTCTCTTTAAGGGAAAGGAATAGTACATGCCCATACCTACTTGTTTACCTGGTGGTGTGTTTTGGGGGGGCTTCGTGTTTTCCCCAACACTTCATGAGTCGTTCAGGGAGAGCTCATTATTTAAGTTGGCAAGGAAATGGTGCCTTTTATTTATTTTTATATGTCCATTATTACAACCTGAAGCTGATGAAAAAAGCAACAGTGCTGTCCACACTGAATTCCAGCCTTCATCTCCTCTCAATGTACTTACAAGGGTACCACTTAAAAGGATTCAAATTAGATAAGTTTTCCTTCATTTTGCCTTTTTTTTAGATTTCCAGTCAGACTAGAAAGAAAGAAGACTCTTGACAATAACATATGACTTCAAATAAAGTATGAAATACTGTCAATGAGTTAACTTTAAAAACCAAATAGTTAAAATTCACGTTTATACAGATTTATACTACACATTTAATAAAAAATATAGTGTAATATTCAATAAAATTAAATACACAAAGATTAACACTATACAAATCCTCTATAAAAGCTTTCCCCCCCTTGTAAGGCGGTTAGCAGTCTGCTTGATAACCACGGGCAGTGAATAATATACCTTTGGTTTGTTTGACCATTTCACCATTAAATGTACAGTACAACTAAAACCTATTTCTGGATGAAATGTTTCACATGAACCACAGCATTTTGTACACCAGGATATGTTCTATGGCTTTTCTGTTATTCATCACTTTCATATTCTTCTTCTTCACCTATGGGGTAGGACTGGATGTTGTTCTGGGTGTACATTTTTGTTTTCACAGGACAGTTGTGATCCATGAGTATTGCCTGAAAGGAAACAAAGTGTGAGTATTAGCATTTCTACCTAGCAGCCAGCTGAGTGTGGTGATCCAGCACAGCCCTCGTGCTGCATGCACCGTGCAGGGATTCACCTCTTCTCCCTGGAAGTGGAACCCAAATTGATTCCAGTTGGACTAAATCGAGCCTGTAGGTCTGTGGGAGGTGGGATCTTGGCCCTAAAGACATCACCAGCAAATTTCTAACCTGTATTTCAGGTCATGACTTATTGAAATACATCTCCCTGCTCTCCAGTTACAGTAATTTACCCTGTGTTTAATCTCCATTAAAAGCTGGGTGAATGGTCAAAGGGAGCCCCACTGCCTCGAGTCAGATCCCCTTTCCTGCCTTTCTTCCTGGCCCCCCTTTCTGTGCAGGTCCAGAACCCCATGACTGGGCTCTGCTGGGAGTGGTGGTCCAAATATTTTGCCTTGTCACCCATGGCAAGCTAAAAGTGATTGTGACAGTGAGGGGCCAATCACAATGTCACATTCTTTGGGATGGCTTTTTCCTATGGGTTTTGGAGCAGTTTTGTAGCATATTTCATGCTGAAGGTGATTAAGTTTGAGTTTTAATTAATTATGCCACGAGCACAATGTTGGGACCCTCCCTTTGACTCTCTGAACTGGACAGAAATGGCCCATCAGTTCACTGCCATCAGCCACCCTGGGAACAGGAGTTACTTTGCACTTACAGGTACCTTAGAGCAAAGAGCAGCAGCTTTTTGGTGGTGGTGTTTTCTTTCTGTTCCTCAGCCTTAGTCAATGTAAAAAAATCAGAACAAACTAAACCTGCTCAGTCGGCAAAGGTCATGACAAGGGATTAACTGGACTCTCCAGGATTCTGCAGTCCAAATATTTGTAAAACAGAAGGTCTCTGGCCTCACTTATGCCACTACTTCAGCAAGGTTTAATTTTCCACCTTCTCTGCTCCTGCCCATAATGAAGTGTGAGCAGCACATCGAGCAGGTGCTGTCCTTACCTTGCAGAGATGTGGCACTGCTTAATAAAACCATGACCATGAAAATTACAGTTTCTTTTCACCTGAGTAAACAATTAACAACTACATTTTGGACCCAAGTCAGCCCTGTTCAGAAAGTCTGCTAAAGGCTGTTAGTCACACTGTCATTTTTTACTTAGTCCTCTTAGCCCCTAATTTTAGGGTTGTATCACAACACATTCGCCTGATCTGAGACTCATCCCTAAAATCCCACTGCAGGGCTGGGCAGGATACTGATTTGGCCAAGAATCACTCTGCTTGCACATCATACAGTGGCTGGGGAGCACTGACTGCCTTATAAAATAAAGGCATTGGCAACTTTATACTAAAAAAAAAGGGGAAGACCTCTGATAGAGGTTGAGTAAGAGAAGTCATTAATGGCAAGTGAACAATTTAGAGAAGAAGGAGGAGAAAAAAGTATGATGCAAACTATACAGGAGAGGACCAAGGGAAAAAGAATAGGTTGAGGCATGGGGAATAATTTGATCAATTGGTCAGTACAGTTCTGGCTCTTCAAGGAAAACAAAAATGCATTTTATACTGACTCCACCACAGCATATGCTGTTGCAGAGGAATGTCTGCTGGACCCTGATTATTGATAATCAAATTTGTGACTTTGTAACCTGTAACAAATAATGAGTTTGTCTTCATAGATCTTGGACATAAAAAGAAGGGGGGGTTCATTCCAAAGGTGATGCATGAGGGTGAAATACACTGTGCTGGTCCTATTTTGAGGAGGTAAGAGGCAAAGATGCGGAGATAAATTATCATTTGTTTCACAGAAAAAAAGAAAATAAAGAAGCCAAGTTATGCTTACCATTTTCTCTTCTTTGGCAGGTGGACTTCGAAGGAAAAAGCACAGGGGAGCGAAGAGGATATCCACAATCCCTATAATTGTCATGAGCCATGGGAATCCAATGGCCTTTGCAATGGCACCACCAGCAGAGGGACCTTGTATAGATAAAAACCCTTTTCTGGAGATGGCTCAGGCACAAAATTTGCAGCAGCCACTTCAAACAACAGTAATTTTATATACAAATCTCCTGCATTTCAAATTGATTTGAGGAATGTAAAGACATGTTTGCATTTATAAGACTGTCCTGGCTCCATACTCCACTCTCATTGAAGAAATTAGAGATGTTCCTAAGGGCACCTGACTCATGCACTCAAGGAGCAGGGGGTCAGTGGGGAGTTACCCCCCTCACAGACTGCTAAGGGCACAGCTGTGGTGTTAAATGTTCCAAGGACTCTTTCCCAGGCATGCCCTGTGTGTGTTCAGTGCCTGACAGCTCCGAGCCTCTCCCAGCTGATGAGCAGAGCGCGGCACGGGAGGGGAGCGGATGCCAAATGCGATTCCCTCTGCTTTATTTCTTCCAGGGAAAAAGAACCTGTGCTCACAAAACCTGCCAATGCCAGTGGGATTCCCAGCTGGCATTGCAGCAGATCCTTTCTCTAGCTGTGCTCTGCAGGCAGGAGAGGCCACTCACCTATGGCGAAGCCCATGCAGAAGGCCACGTCGGCAATCGCGTACACGCTGCCGTACACTGACACGTGGCGCAGGTCCACCAGGTAGCCCATGATGGGCATCATGGAGGAGTCCACCATTCCTGGGGGGGAGGGAGGAAAACACGTTTCAGGAAAATACTGCCTTTACTTTTCTCTTCTTTTAATGTCTTGGCGAACCAACCACGTGCTAAGAAGGGATGCAAAAGCAGCTAAAAGTTCTTAACTAAGCACAATGTCTGTCCAAAACCAGTCTGTATTATCTTTGTTGTTTATGGTCTTTGCTGTGTCTGAGGTCATGTCTGAACATGTATGCACACAAACATGTGACACCTGCCAGAGGACAGGAGAGATGTGAGCTTAGAGCACATCTATCACTTCCCGGCGACAGTCCCTGCAAAGGCTCCCACCTCACATTACCAGCCAAGTAGCTTTTATTTAGGGGAAAGCTATTTGGTATGAACTTACACTTAATCTGGGCCTAAAAGATTGCATTAGCCTCCAGTCAGCCAAAATTATTTATAGCAGCTTTATCGTGTCTTTTGAGCCACACCTTCATTGCTTGCAAGAAGCAGCACAGGCAGCTGACAGAACTGCTCAGGTACTGGGGAGTTGTAGTTGAGCCTCTAAGTTCTTTTCTAACTACACATCCCTGATGCATTAAGATGCCCTAGAACATTTTCTGATGAGCCAAGGACTGAAAACCAAGCCCCAGTGCCCACTCCAGCCTGCTCATGGGCTTGGGAATTCCTATTCTATATACACAATTTTAAGCCTTTTTTTCCTGTGAAATGTCTATATAATTCTTTTCCACAACAAAGAAGACTGTGGGTTTGGGGCAGTGTATGGCTTCATTTCTGAAGAAGGAGTTTACATTCTTGGACAGTTTAAAAGATCTGTTTAGGTCAGTGGAGCCATCCTGGACAGACTCAGCAATCCAGCTTGTCTAAAGCAGCCTGGTTCGAACTCCCTAAGCACTGTCCTTTAATCCTTCTTGCTCTCCTTACCACTTTGGGCCACAGCTCAGACTTCACCACTATCACATCAGAGTGGCAACAAAACTAATTGTAGCTTCACATTAAATCATTTTTATATGAACAACAGACTGTAAGAGGTAATTGTAAATTTTCTTACCAATGGCAAATCCAACTCCAAAGGTTGGTGCTATGAGCCCATAAATGTTTTTAGCAAATGGTACCTGTAAGGGAAATTTCAGGCAGATAGTTATGTCACACTGCACAAGCTAATAAGGTTAGTTTCTTTTTCTAAGATAAATTCTCCAAGTAGTTAAGGTGCAGTTTGTAGAGATGTGAGAGTTTGACCCTCGTTCTGAGTTGTCATTTCAGGTGACTGTGCCATTAAACCACTGACACACTTCCTATTATCAGCAAGAACAGAGTGACAGCTCAGAAAAGAATCATCCTCCTTTCAGAGCCACTTTTCTTAAAATAACTGAAGCACTGAAATTTGAAAGCACTCAAAGATCTATTAACCACACATTGCATAATACCATGTCACAAAGCAGAAACTTCAGCAAAATCAGCCAAGTCTCAGAGGAAAAGCACACATTTGAAGATGAGCACACAAACATCCGCATGGTTTGAAAGATCACCATCTTCTACTTACACATAAAATACTTATTCCCACGATTAGCATCCCCAGCAGAGCACAGAGCCACCTAGCAAAGAAGAAACATCACTCAGAGATGGGTAATAATGAGATCCTAGGGCGGATCCTCAATGTCTCAAAGTCATGTCTGAAGTGCTGACTTCAACAACAAAAGTAGCAACGTGTTCAAAAAAGCAATTTTGCTACAACAGAACGAAGTTCAATAATTTTCACTATCAATAAACTGCCCTGGGAAACACTGGGAATGGTACATGAGGAGACTGGAAGATGATTAGTATTTTTAAATGAAGCATACCTTCCAATTTTGTGCGCAAGTATCCCGAAAAGATTAGTCCCAATGAGATAAGAGACACTAGCTGGGAGAAAAGCAACACCTGAAAAATATGAATGAGATGTTTTATCAGCAAGGACTTTAGTGAAGTGTTAGAAGAAACTAATAAATCCCAGACACTGTAATTTTGATCTGAGTGCATCTAACAGAGCCTTTGTGCACAGCCCCAGGAATCAAATATCCGGTTTGTCTCATGAAATCTAAGGACATCATCTGTGAAATGCAGGGCTGATGGGATGCCTTTGAAAAGAGTTTTTCAGCATCAGCTACAAGAGCTGCTATGGGAGAGGGGACGGAACAACAAAGAGCAAAAAAGTTTCTATCAAACTGCAATAACCTTTGGGATGGGTCAAGGAGAGCAACTCACCCACATGCCCAGCATGTGCAGCCAGCCCAGAACGGCCAGGAGAGGGTGAATCCCCTGCAGGAGGGGACAGCAGAGCTGCTGCTGTGACCCTGCAAGGGACAGTCACCCTCCAAGCCTGTGAGTGCCATCACACCTCCTGTTCAGGCAGGTTTGTGGTGCCATGATATGGTCCTTGGCAGAGCAGAGACTGAAGTCAAGCATGTATCAATAATGTAAGGGTGAAACACCTTAAAATATTTGTTTTGAAACTATTTAGCTGACATATTTTTAATTTTTTAAAGAATTGGTTGTTGGTTTAAATTTGAAAAATAAAAAAATTACGTATAATGACTTGCAATGAGGGCACCTGAATAAATTCCTTCTGACCCTGATGGGAGGGTACCCAGCCTCTCTCACCCCCCACATCCACCCGCTTGGAAAAGCAGACTGTTGGGACCAGCAATTTTTTTCTAGCCCGGAGGTTTTCCCAGCAGTGGCCATATCTGGAGTAGATTTTGGTTGCACAGCGACCAGAGACATCTCTGGTTTAAAAGCCAGGTACAGTCTGCACTGCAGGATTCCTGCTCTCCCTACACTAAGTCAGAGAGGAAATGGCAAAGGCAGAAATGCCAGTGGAGATCATGGAGTGCCACTGCCTCGGGAGCAGCAGGGAGGATGAGGCAGGTGTGGGTGAGAGCAGGGACTGCCCTTGAGGAGGAGGATTCTTATGAAAAATACCCAGAGGCAGAGGGACAGGGTGGCTGTGCCTGATGCCAGATCCCTGTGCAGTGGTGTTGAACGGGTTGTGTGTCCAGCAAGGGATAACACACAGTATTCTGTTCCCGTTCAACTCTGCATCTTAAGAAAAACCAAACTGGGACACCTGACAGAACTAGGGAAGTCTGACAAATCAGTGCATGCTGTGACAAGCCTTCGTTTGGTCCCCCTTAAATCAGGTAATTCAGATTTAGAAAGCAGCCACGACATAGCAGTACACAGTCCAACCATTTCCTTCAAGTGTATATGCTCCTCATCTTTCACCAAGGCAACGTGGATTTTCTCATTTCCTGCCTATCCATCTTCCTTCCTATCTCTCTGATACTCATAAGAAAAAAATCAAGAGGTAATTTTTAGCACAGCAATATCCTGTGATTAAAATCCTTGTGGGTTACAGTGGTGGTGCTGGGGAAACATTTCATTTTCACCTGTATAACCACAGCTACTTTAGTACTGCCTGGAGCTATCTGGTTATACCAAATGGTCACACAGAGCAGACCTGGACAGCTGTAAAAGAGAAGCAGAACTGAAAAGGCTTTTTAAATAAGACTTGCAGGTTGGTATGTAAGCTGTGGTATATTGAAGCAGAACCAGGATTTCTAAATAAGCTTTATGCACAGTAACATCAGTTGGTCAAATCAAGGTTCTTTATACCTTCTTCAGATCCTGCTTCAAACAGCTGGATCTCCAATTGCATAAGATAACCATTTGCTTAAAACCCTGCAGTTCAAGATATAATTTAAGAGGCTTAAAAACTTTAATTAATGCTGTGAAATCAGCACAAAGTGTAATGGAGTCAATTACTTGTATCGTTAAGGGGTAAAATTAGTCTTAATTTAAAATGGATATTTTCCTTCCAGGAACCTCTGTTCAACTAAGAGATTTGTAAATCTCATTTCTATTGCACCAGTAATATGAAACTCTGGTGAGGAAGGTAGATAAGTAATATTTATTTTTCCTTTGTGAGGTTCAAAATACCTAAGTTTGCATATTCATTTTGCTGTAGTGCAGGCTGGAAGTCATTACCATGTTCCACAGTACAGCAGCACATAAAAACTGCACCTATGGCCACTCTAGATCTGAATTGCATTAATTAGAACTAAGGTTTGTGCTTTCTATATGGTGCAGGGACACTTGCATTAACATAGAGTGGGGGTATCAGATCTTGGCTGAACATCATTTAAATAAAGACTTTTTCTTTTTCTTTCAAAAGCCATATACTGATATGAATACCCTCATGAAACATCACAGCACAGAAGACATCATTACATTTATCAAATTGGTATTGGGCATCCCCCCATTAAGAATATTCATATCAACCTCTCACACAGTTTGACACTGGAATTTTGTCTATTCTCTGGTGGGTTTTTCCCCTTCACCTCAAAGAGAGGGTAACTGCCCCAGCTTTAGCCTCCAGTCTGACCTGATCCATGTGGCACATTCCCTGTTTGCCTGTGGAACTGCTTTCCCGAGATTGGGTTATACAGGTTATAAGGAGGTCCAAGTTGGGGCTCTCCCACTGCTTCCTGCTGAAAGTAACCCCTGGAAGGACACCAAATCTGTCAAATTCAAGGGAAAGTGTTCCTTGTGGCCACATTTTAAGCAAGGCCATCCTTCCTCCCCATGTTACAGCAGCAGCTGGGAGGTGTGTGCTGGCACAAAGGTGCTTTTCACCCAGCAGCTGCACCTGCTGCAGATTTCTGTGGCTGCCTCTCCTGGCAGTTCAAACTGGGGACTCAGGATGGGGTCCCTCTAGGAAAAAACAAACAAACAAATTGTTTTGCCCTGAGAGACTGGCTCTGCAGCTCAACAGGCATCTTGCAGCTGCCCCTGCCAACACTCACTGCCAGATGTGCTGCTGGGGTTCCCAACACAGCTGGATCAACCACAGTGCCGTGGCTGCCTGCAGCTATTTCTCCTTCAGGTGTAGTGCTGCCCCTCATGGAGCCTCTATTGCAGCAACATCAATCTATATAGCAAATACTTTCTATTTTTCTTACAGCCCAATGTTTGTAATTGTGCAGGTATAACACCGAAAATTTAAAGACTGTAAAAAAAACCTACCCCCCTGAAGCATATAAGCATTAACAGGACCAGAACTAACACAATCATTAGACTAAAGAGAGAGATGCAAATAATGTCCTGTACTTTACCAAGCTGCCATTTTTTTGAGCACATGGTCTCCATCATCCAGATGGGTAAAGCTGGTTCAAGCATAGCAATAGCCATGTTGGCAAAGCAGATTGATCCTTAGAGAAAGAAAGGGAGGGGAAAAATAGAAGTAAGTGTTTCTTTTGACTATGAACAAAAGGCCATGCAAAGAATTGATGCTTTTACATAAAACATTACATTTTTTATAGTCCTATTTGTCAAGTATCAGATGTTGATTAACGTTAAGTAGAACACAATGTGAAATCACTGAAGACTAACTTTTTATATATTTCTATTCTCCTAGAAATTCTACAATAAAGGTTAAGCTATTTCATAATGTGAAAGTTTGCAGTGAGCTTGATGACATTTAGAAAGTTCATGAGGTCTGACTGTTGCACAAATGATTAGCTAAAACTACAATCTTCTGGTCTTTACCTAGTCCCCTGGGGCAATACTGGAGCCCTGTTGTGTAAGAAGCACAGGCTCTGACCCTATGCCTCTGTCATCTGAGAGATGATGCCTCCATCACATGATGAGATGTGGAGGTCTTGATCCTGAAAATACCAAGAGACAATCCCAGAGATGTCTGTCCCCTAGAAATGGGAATTTTCCCTCAAGATCCCATAGCTGGCAGCCAGTAAGCCCATGCAGCAGAGCATGGCTTTGCCTGAGCTTGCCCAGCCCTATGAATTTCAAGTGCTTACAGATGTCTTTTGAATTTCTGGACCTTTAGTAACCCAGACACAAAGGATACCAAGTGGTGGCAGTGCTGACTCAGTCCTGCCTGCCAGCTCAGCTGTGCCCCACACCACAGCCTGCAGTGCAGGCTCCAGGGCTCCTGCCCTGTCCATCTGTCCTCAGCGCTGCACTTCAGCTTCAGCAACCCCCACAGTAGTTCTCTGGATTCAAGATGCCTTTCATGCTTCCTCAGAAGACCCTGAGGCAGTCAAAGCTTAATGCAGGGCAAGGGGACATGTCCCCTCTGCTAATCCCTCACAACACAGTTTTTAGAAGTCACTGTTAGAAGTGACAACCTCAAACTTGTGTTCCCGGTTTTTTTCTCTCTAATATTGTAGACTCTCACTGTCATTTACCATCTATATTTTGCCTTTTTTTTTAAATTATTATTTTTAAAAAATAAAAAAAGAAAAAACAACACACCACAATTTTTCTGAATTCAGAGAAACATTATTTCTCTGGGAACAAGTTCCTCATCACAAGGTTCAAAACCAAATGAGCACTGATGTCATTCTTTGCTCAAACCTGTCAGAATATATTAGACTGTGTATCCACAATTCCTAAAATGAACTTGCTGGCTAGCTGGCTCACTCCCTTCCCGGGGCAAGGAGCAACAGTTCAGCACTGCTTTGCCCTAAAGACAAGAGCCAACCTTTCCACTCGGGCTCAAGCTCCCACTGTTGTCTGTGAGGAGCCCCAGTTAAACACCGTGGGGCTGCCCTCTTCCAAGGCAAAATCAGCCATGCTCAAGAAGCTCCCTTGATGCTGGAAAAACATTTCAGACTGCACAGAGTGCAGCCAGAGGAAGCAGCACCATTCTGACAGAGATGACTTGGATAGCAAAGGTCTCATTCCACTCTTAACAAACCACACAGAAATGAGGAACAGGTGTGCTTGCACACCTTTGTGGCATCTATTTCTCCTTAGGTCAGGAAGCATCACCAGAGCTTGGTACTCAGGCATATGGTGATAAAGGTACTTCAGGTCCATAGAATGTACCCCAAAAAAAAGAGAGTGCCTGAGCTGCATCACCTCTGCCACGAGGTCACCTTGTGCTGAGGAGTAATACTGTGCTATAGATAAACCAAACTGGTCAGAAAGTGCTCCTATGTTAAGAATACAAACAATTATGACTCAAGTGTATGACACACGCTCGTGACCTTGAGTCTGAATTTATACCATGAAATTAGTGGACCTAAATCAAGATTGGAAGGAACACTGAAACTGTTAACCCGTTTGCAGCATGCCTGACACAGCCCTGGTTTTTACTGGTGGTCAACTCATCAGCCCACTGGCGATGCAGTCAGTTTTTTAATGAGGTAGTGAGCTGCCTGAAAAGCCATTCAAAACCCCTAATCTCCATGAGCAGTGCAAACCCAGCAGGACTCTTAACCTTCTCCTCTCTAATCTGTGTCTGTACACTGAGCACTGCACACAGTATGGGACACCCACAGTCCCAGCACCCTCGTGGTTTAGATACAGAGAATGTGACACAGGGCTTGACTGATCACCCCAGGGTGTCACAGCACGGAGCTGCCATCCCAATCAAACACTTACCCACCCTTCCCTGTCAGCATCAGGATCAGAAATTCCCACCCTAGCAAGCAAAGCAAAAATATGCCTGTCCAACCCCTTGGGATGAGGGAGAGCAAACAAAATTTTCAGACCCTTTTTAGTAAATAAAGGAGTGATTTCAGAATTGAAGCAATTAACATTTAAGCAGTGGATTCCCAGTGCATCAAGAAAACTGCATTTGGACTGTTGTGCATTCATAAGCCAGATAAGCTGAAGTTATAGTTGGTATTCAGCTTTCAGCTCTGACAAAAACATGTGTTAAAATTTGGAACAAAGTCCCTCCACGCTCTTAGCAGACACAGGACATAGTCAAGACAGTGGGATCCGTGGCAACTTTTCTCTTCCTTGGCCAAGATTAAGCTTGGCAGGAGTAGCTAAATCTTAGTCAAGCAAAGTACCCCTTAAAAACCTGTCCCCTTGTCATATTTTGTGGTGTAAACCAAATTCTACCACAGAATAAACCTTGGCACAGACTGGATATAACATAAGCATTTGGCAAACCCTGTTAGATGAATCTCACCTTGCAACCCCTGCTTTAACCACTGTAAGAGACAAATTACTGAATCAGACAAACACCACATCTGATCTCTTGAAACAAGCACTGTCTGTGCTATTTTTTTTCCCCTCAAATACATTTATTCCATGGAAAGGCCTTTTAATGCTCTGAGAACTTCTCAAACAGAAGTGTTTGTATAACTTCAGTTGCAGCTCGACCAAGGATCACGGAGTCAAGGTTATGATCATGCCCTAAGATCACCAAGAGAGAACCCAAGCAATGCCTGGAAGAATTGCTTTGTTGGACAAGCAAGTTAGAACTAAGAAACAAAACCATGAAAATAACTGCCTATTTCCAGGTGTTTTGTCAACATTACAAAGAGCCAGAATCAATTACAGACTTCAGAATAAACATTCAACAAAATGCAATGCAAAATGGCAAACATCTCTCGAGACAGAAAGATTCATTAGACAAACGATACATGTAATACAAAATGCCATTCACCATTCAACCCAGACCTTTTCTGAAATACAATCCACGCTCAAGAGACCAAAATCACTCCCTCTTCAAACAGAAACAAAGTTCAGTTATTCCCTGTGCCTGCCTGTGGTGTGCTGGCAATCCCTCCCTCTGAAACCCTGGCCCTCCTCACTTGCCTCCCTGGCCATACCTCATTGCCTCAGCAAGCACCTCCAAGTCATCAGTGTCCCCTCTGCTGGGAAGACACATTTCAAACTTTCTGCCTGTTGTGTTTCTACTGGTGTACTCATCCTGTAGGATGAGGTACCAACAGGCACTTTCAGCTTCACGTAAAGGAAATCAGCAAATGCCAATACTGTCAAAGCAGCTCAGCCCAAGGCATGCCAGGAAGCCAGGAATGACACCAATGGTTGGTTTAAAGGAAAAAAACAAAAGGGATCCAGTACCTGCTGCAATAATGATATAGGGGTCCTTCAGAAGTGTCAGTAGCGGTGTCCCCTTCTGACTCTGCCAACAAAAGCTTGGGATTAGGAAAGGCAAAGTGTCACCCACTGCCTCCAGTGTTTTACCTGAATACTCACCTCTGCCTGTGTTCTGGATGGCTGCAGAACAAGCAACTGAACAGCTGCAAAGAGAAATCAATAGTGTAACATTCCTCCAAGAAGGGGGGTGGATGGGGATACCGACTCTCCGTATCTACTGACCTCCATCTAACAGAGCCAGCGCTGCCAGAACCAGGAAAGGAGAACTCTTCCCCACAAACTCATACATGACACTCCCAAAGGGTGGCCCCACTGCCAGGAAGAAAGAAAGGACACACTTGTGAAGCCACACCTTTGGCTCTGAACAAACATCCCCTGCAAGCATTTGGGCATCCTGCTATTGGCACACAGAGACCAAAAAGCTCAGTTTAAAAATCTCCACAAAGCTCACTGATGATGACAATACCATATTCTTCACTCCCCAAAATGCTCCTCTGAGTGAACAAAACCCAAGCACCTCAGAGATTACTGCTGGACACGTGCCTCTCCACAATGAATGTGCTGCTGTGGGAAAAGCTCTTCTTAACACGCCCTGCCAGTCTAACCTGGAGACTACACGACAGCATCACACTCAGCAGGAGTCCTGCTGCTGTCAGAGCAGCACTTGCTTTGCCATGGCTGGGACACGTGTGCTTTCACTTGCCAGCAGAGCCTCCAACTCACTGACCTAACACTCCCATGGCAAGGCCTCCCAGTGCAATTCCCATTGCGTTGCCTCTCTCCTCATCATCCGTATACACAGTGGCCAGCAAACCCATCCCTAAATCAAAGGGAAAAAAAGAAAAGAAAAGAAAAAAAGCACAACACAAAATTAGACATCTGTGTTCCACAGTTTATGTTCATCATTTGCCACACCCACTAAACATTACACAGAAATGACAGAAAGTATCTTTGTGTGTACTACACATATATGTATATACACACATATATAAATATATAAATATGTATAGTTCCTCCCCACAGAATTAACTTTGAAGCAAAAAGGGGTTTGGGAATGCATGTGGTCTCCAAGACCATGTTCCATTGTGCAGTATCAGTCAGCTAATTTAATAATGCCCTTATTTGCTAGATTCTTTGTCCCTGTCTTTGTCACAGAGCTTTTAGATTATTTTCAACTAGCAGGAACAAAGCTTCTGACAAGTATTCACGATCATTTATTTATGCTCTGGGTGCATGGCACAAAGGTCTGGTGACCACTCAGCTGAAATTGTGGTCAGTGCTACCTATACTCTGGGCATGAGGTATTAGGCAGAGCTGATTACTTTGTACATGAGTATTTCAGGTTCAGCATCCAAAATTAAAGGATTCTTTTGACCTTTATCTTCACATGCCTCATTTCTGCATTTGATTATGAACCTTCATTTCACAAAAGGAAACACGAAGCCTAATTCATTTGTGTTTTTGTGAAGCACTCAGACACTAGAGATGTAAAAGCTGCAGGAGAGTCCTCATAGAAATTAATAATTATGTTTTCAAATCAAGATTTTTGTAGGGCTCAGTAAATAAGGTTGACAGCTATGCAGAAAAAGAAAACAAAACACTGCATGGTTGATCATTAAGTGAATACCATCCATCATGTGCATCAAAAGAGCAGAGGTCCTGTGTGGATTAGTATGCTTGCTGAAAACTGTGGGTGACATCATCAAGCCCTTTGAAGGAACAGCTGGAGAGCTAGTTGGAGAACTGTGCCAGAATTCTCAATGAGCGTGAGATGTGGGGAAATATTCTGGAAAACAAAACTAAGGGGCAATACAAAGAAGATCACACAAAATTGTACACATAGGTAGGAATGATTACACTCCAAATGCAGGGGAGCAAATGACTGATCGGCAGCAACAGTACCCAAAACTCCCTTTGCCTGTGAGATACATGAAGTGACCCCCTGTAAGGAGTCAGATCTTCCTCCCAGTGCTGGGTCTGACTCTGGTGCAGCACAGGAAGAAAGGTGTGGGGGTGCCCTTAAGACTGTCCAGAGACTGACAACAAGAGTGAGCAAGAAAAATATCTGTGAGGGACAACTTCAGGACTTTCAATTTAAAACCAGAGAGGAGAATGCTGATGTGAGATGTGATAACAGCCTGGCAATATGAAGGAGAACCAAAAAGATAAAGAAAAGAAACTGTTCTTCATGTTCTCTGAAGTACGAGAAGCAGAAACACGTTCACATGACAGTAAGGAGCCTTTAGATGAGACATCAAAAAAAACCCCAACTTCCTGACCATAAAGGTACTTAAGCACAAAGCTGGATGCTGAGGGCATTACTGGAGGCTTCTGAGATCGTGCCTGTCAAGTGTGCATGAAGAATGACAGATGCTAAGCTGATGCTGCCTTCAGGAAGGGGTGGACTAGATAGTCTTTTGGCCTTTTATGCTCTATTTTGTAGGTTGTCTGAGAAAAAAAGTCATGTACTCATGTAAGAGCCCTACCTCAAGGTGCACACTTGCACAAGGACTGAGTTAAAGCTGAACAACAATTTTGATTCTGGCATGGCTTCCCTTTGGAAAGTTCAACTTGTAACCTTAACTGATGTCAGAGAAAAGATGGATTCTCTTGTCTCTACCCCTCCTGCTTGTCTTTGCCTTCTCCATCCCTGGGTCCTCATACCAGCCCCTGCCTCCTCCCTCAGCCACATCCCCACTCTTCCCACTACTCATCCAGGTTTAAATCTCTCTGCTGAACCAGTGCTTGTTGTGCAGCTTCAAACCCATCTTTAGCATGAGGTGCCCCTTGTTCCCAGGTGGAATGCTCAGTCTGGAGTGCTCCATCCCCCAGCTGCCCCAGACAGCACTGCCCAGATCTGGGCTGGAGCAAAATCCCTGCCAAGGGAACCCAGGAGGAATCCAGCCCCCAAATTCTTGTTGGGCTTCTATGGAGTGTTTGTGAACCCTGGTTATTGGCCAGTGTGAGTTGGAAAGGGGGATTTTCCTGAGTAAGACATAAGGCACCTTGACTCAACATTACAATTCACCTCCCTTCCCAAGCCACATTTCTATTTCTTCTGCCATCACAGGGAATTTTTCCAAGACTGAAATATTCAACATGAAGAAAACATATTTTCTCCAGTCTCAATCTCAAAAAGGGTTAAGTAACTTGGGCTGAAAACCTGTACTGCATTTCACCTATTCCTTTAAAAATAAAAGCTTGTATTACAGGTAAACTGAGTCCAAACTGGCAACCAGCATGGTAAGGCCTTGAAAACAACATTGTATAACAGAAATTTCAGTAACAGACAGAGCTGCTATTCCAACTGCAATAAGTACCAATGTAAGTTCCCAATGACCTTTAAAATGGCTAAAAATGAATTTAAAATGTTGAAGACACAGGTGCAGAAATCCCAGGGAGAGTGCAGTTCATTTAGTGCTCTACCTTACTGCAACCCAAATACCACGGAAAGCTGAAAAGACATTTGCTTTTGAGCTACTTTATATGACAGGAACAGAAAATAACCAGGAAATTGGTTTAATTAAATATTTTTGTATTAATTATTGAAAGTGCAGACAAAATACAATTCAGAAAATGACTGAATGATCTGCGTTTCACTCTATCAACTCTCCTCTTACCTGCCACTGAAGAACAGGAGGAACCCACTCCTTGAAGGGACCTGGCAATAAACAGCAATGCATAGCTTCCAGAGAAGGCAAACACTACAGGAAAAAACAGAGGGACATTTTTTAAATTAGGTTAACTCTAACTAGGTTAAAAAGTTAGATTTCTCCAAACTATCACAAAAACTTCCTACAATTTAGTCAAGTGTTTACAGTGACTTGTGCCACTTTCAATGCTAACTGCATTATTTTCTCTTATTGCATTTTGATGTGTCAGTGTTGAATTGCTCTCAGGTGTCTGAGCCTCCAGGTAACACAGAATGCAAGAGCCTGAGCAGTTTTAACTAATTACTTGGGATTTGATTACATCTGCTCTGATTCAGCTGCACACGGAAGGAGTAATAATGCTTTCCTTTCCAGCCTTGCCTCTCTGCTGCTTCATTTCAGGCTGCCCAGTCTGGAGCTCCAGGCATTCAGGGAGGCAGGATGTCACACACACACCTGGATGTGCTGCTGGTTCCTCCAGTGAGTGGGTGGGGAGAGGTTCTCCCCTGGTGTTGCCAGCCCCACACCAGATGTGTGCAGCACAGCTGGCTGGAGGGGCAGGGAAGCCAGATCCACCCGTTCAAGGGCTGCACCAAGTTTCTGGTGCTCCCAGCATCAGGCAGTCACAGAAACTGCACCAGAGGAAGGGCCACTCTGTCTCTGCATAAGAGATTTAACCCTGGGCTCCACTCCCAGCCACTATCTGCCTTCTGGGAAAGAGCCCCTGGCTGTTGCACCCATCAGCCTGGCTAAATTCCCTATCCAGGAGGAAGTAAGAGTGTCCCAGAAACCCAGTCACATCTCTGCTTGTGGAGCCCATGCCATGGTCAGTGTCATTAAATCTCAGGGAGTTTTGAAAGCTTTTTTTCACCTTCCACCTGTTGGTCACCTAAGGCCAGACAGGTTGTAGCTGCAGGAAGTTGTTATGCACCAACTAAACAAGAGATCCACGTGCACTTTCCTCACCTACCCACTGGGATCATGACTCTTGGGCTTTTCACCAGGTCTTACAAAAATTCCTACTAGGTGGACAGAGAAAAATCAAGGAAAGTGAAGGAAGAAAGGATGTCAGCAGATCAGCAGTTCTCTTTTTTGCCATGAATTAGGCTCACTATTCTTGTCTACATCCCAACCAAAATGTATCTAACAGTGCAGAGTTGTCAGTAACTCTAGGAGCAGGTCATCTTCTCTAGCACTTCAGTCCCCTTGATGATACAGTTTTAAGATCATAGAATAATAGAATCACAGAATCACAGAATGGTTAGGCTTGGAAGGGATCTTAAAAGTCATCTCCTTCCACCCTCCTGCCATGGGCAGGGACACCTTCCACTAGACCAGGTTGATCAGAGACCCATCCATCCAGGCCTTGAACACTTCCAGGGATGGGAAATCCACATCTTCTCTGGGCAACCTGTCATTATTCCTTCTCTTATGTACACTGGACATGGAAAATTGTTTGTTCCCTTCCTTTTTTGTCAGAGACTCTAATACATTTTATATCTGCCTTCCGAGGCAAAACTGATTCTTTCATTGTTCCTCACAGGCTTCTAATGATCCTTGATGTTCTCTGTACTCTTTCTGTTTGGGCCACAGCTTTAAATGCAGGCCAAAGCCACACATAAAACAGCAGCTGAAGCCTTATCAATGCCATTAGAGCAGCCAAATTATCTCAGCTGACTGGCAGGCTGTGCTCCTGTTTGCACACCCCACAGTGATGTTTAGCAACGCTGTGATACTGTTGACTCACATTCTCATGAGCCACTGCAGCCTCACAGTCTTTCTGATAAGCCCCCACAACATCTAGTTGTTAAGGATCTTGCAAGGCAGCCCTTCCATGGCTGACAGCCCTTCCATGGCTGTCTGTTAAAGCTCTCTGAGCACCGTTCCAGGTTAGGAGAACCTGAAAGGTTCAGCTAAGGAGGAGACCCACCGAGGTGGGATGGAAGGTCATGATTCCTTAGAGCATGTTCATAAGGCTGTACTTGTTTAATCTTATCCACATGGAGCAGACATCCTGACATTTTCCCTGGAAATCAGTCCCTGTACATCAACAATAAGAATTCCTAGTGATAATTATTATGGATATTCATCTCGAGGTTGTGTCTGGGCCAGACCAAATAGGATGTGGACACTTACTGATTGTCGACACAAACATGATGCAGAAGCCAGCAAACAGTGGGATCTGGTAGCCTATTCTGGAAAACAAAACGAACATTTCACATTTCTGAGGTTTTGAGTTAGGCTTACTCACATGAGTTCACACACACCAAAAACCCAACTTGTAGTTCCTTGGTAGGCTTTGAACTGTTTGTTGTGGACCACATGATCATATTTGTCCATGTTACAAATGCCTTTTCATCTGGCACAGCAGACTTTGTATCTGAAATCCCTGGAAGAAATACTTCTCATTAGGATCTGATTGCCCTGTTCTTGTTCTGCCTTAAATTGTTCCCAACAAAGCCCCTCTGGGCCTTCATGAGGTTGCCAAAGATATGCCAAAGGAAGATTTGTCTGAGCATGCTGGACTTTGAAGTATCCCAGTCGTGTTTCAGTGCACATCTGTTTGCATCCTCATGAGACAATGACCATAATGAGACACAGCCAAGCCAATGGCTTTTTTACTGGAAGAATTTGTCATCAGCTTTTCTGGGACTCCTGCCTCAGCCAGGAGAACTGGAAGAGTCCCAAAGAGCCTGAGAATTTTTTTTTTTTTTTTTTTTCTTTTCATGGGTTTAGGAGCAAAAATGGAACTGATCAAAGCTTTTTTCATCAACCCACTTCTTCATTAGGACTCTAAACAGCCTGTAGGAATGCCTGGTTGCTCTAAGTATTTTCAAGTTTTCAGGAAATAAAGAATTTTCTGGCTGGAAAGCAAACACATTTTTTGAGTAGCTAAAACTGAAATTTCAACAAAAAAAATCACAATATATTATTTTCCACACCATTAAAAATCTACCCTAGAGTCAAAACCCAGTTAGCTCTGAAGACAGTCTGTGTATTCCATTAAGCACACTTTCCTCATGGCTTCTTTTTTGTAGGATTGTGGATCTCAAATGCATTTGATAAGACATTATTTAACGGCCAAATTCTTCAACAATGGATGATGCTTTTCAGAGGAGTACTTTCAAAGGATATCAACTTTCAATGATTTGACAGTATTGGGCATTTTTACTGGCAGTATTGGCTGAAGTGGGTCAATCAAATAATGGAGGAATCTATAATGACCCTTTTAGTAATAGCAGTCATGACACAGGCAAACCAAAATAATTATTTTGAGCTTTGGAGGTTTTTAATATTTTTACACAATTAAGGGCTTTGGAAAAATGGAAAACTCTCTGAAGTGCAGGGCTCGGTGCTCACTGTTTGTCTCATAACATTTGTGTGAGTTTTGTGAATTAAAGAAATCTAGCAAGCACATTTCTAGATGCCAAAGAAAACTTGAATGAAAAACAATTTTGCCTTAAATATCATCACTACATTAAAATATGCCAAAAACACAGTGCACAAATTCTTCTAGTTGAGATTTTTAAGTGGGTGTTGCAAATACCAAGCAGAGACTAACTACTCATGTGGTACTTAACTGGACTGGTACCTCCAAAGAAGTTAAATCCCTATCACAAACTTCCTCAGTGATGATAATAATTTATGATGATGATTTTAATCTCTCAGCACCTTTGTACATGGCATATAAGAGAACAAAGCTACCTTTCTTTTGGTCTGTTTTATTTAAATGAATGTTTTTTCTAAGCCTGTTTGGTTCTGGTGTGCTGCCCCTGCATGGGATTGCTGAACCTCCAGAAGTCGTGGTTGCTCCTGCTCAGGGGACAGTCTTACCCACATCCAGCTGAGATTTAATTAGTTATGCAGATTGTCCTTTCCTGCATAATCTTAACAAACCCTGTCTCTTAGCACACCCTGCCTGCTCCTGAAATAGCAGCAATAATTAGTTGGAGTTGTGCTTCCCAAATGTCTAATGTGCAGCTGCATTCCCTGCTCTATTCTAGAGATATTAGAGAGCACAGACTGAGAGTTTTTGCTGAACAATTACACTGTACAACATAAATAATCACAAAAAGAAGAGGCACCACCTGTAACAGCCAACTACTCAGAGATTCTGTTCCTTGGTCCTTGCCATGTGAGACCTAGGAATGTTCAGTTTCTCCTTCTCAGCCATTACACGGTATAGTCTATCCCAGTTATCTCTACATTTTCTTCCCCTGCATGTGTGCAACACAAAGGAAGATTACAGCCTGTCTTCCCTCTTCTTTTTTATTGTTACCATGCCCAAGCAAGTAATTTTTTGGGGCACTCCTTTCATAGCCCTCCAAGCAATTCTGAAGCAGAGTCAGTCCAGCATGTTTTCACCAAAGCTACCTCGGCTGAAAGTGGTTCTTACAAGTATTTCTGACCTCTGAAAAAGTCTGACTCGTTAGTTGAAGGATGTAAGGGAAAGGCTGCCACTGATGGAGAATGCCCAAATTAACTCCATTTCAGTCCCACATTGCTCCCAGATTGCAGGACTCTTAGGAATGATTTATAACTATTAACAAGATTACCCTACAGAAGGACAACAGATTGGTGCTTCTGTTGCAGTAAATAAAGGTTACACTGACCAGGTAGCCACTCTCTCATGCAAAAAAGTTCAAAGCTGTAGTCAGGCTGATGTAAAAATGATGGAGAAAATATCTATTAATTTTTTAATGATTTTTGGGCCAATATGTGACCTTGTTTTAACACATATTTTTTCAGGCTGATAAAATAAGAGAGAGAGATGCATGGCACAGGGACATTCACTGACCCCAGCAGATTGAGGTGCTAGCACAGCTGCGCTCACAGCCTCGTGCATGGAGCTTGGTAAGAGTTTGGAAAAAAGCAGTGAAGTAAATCATAGGATCACAGAATGGTTTGGCTTGGAAGGGACCTGAAGGACCATCTAGTTCCCTGGTATGGGCAGGGACTTCTTCACTAAACCAGCTTGCTCAGAGACCCACCCAAGCTGGCCTTGGAGGCTTCCAGGGATGGGGCAGCCACAGCCTCTCTGGGCAGCCTGTACCAGTGCAGTGAGTTAAATCACTCCCACAGCAGCCTTTTGCACACTCTCTTCACTGGACAGGATTGGGCAGAGCCTTCAATCTGCCCCTGCCAGTGCCCTCTCCTCACAAAGCCTCCTGTGTCCAGTTCTGCACTACCTGCACAGTTTCTTGCCAAGTTCACTACAGGGAAAAACATGATGTGCACCTGAGCCACAAAACCTTACCAGCTCTGCCCTGAAACTGTGCCATGGTGGGAAAAGTGTTGTTGACATCCTATGGCAAAGCCATCCCCAAGTGTTTGCTTTACTGGACTTTGTTGGAAGAAGGGGAAGTTGTATTGTTCCAGGAACTGCAAACCAGTTCACCGAGCCAGGTGTGGGTTGTCTGGTATTCCATGGAAAGAGCTGGGCTTTAAAGGAGAAATAATTTTTGTGGAACACATTCCTTGAATAAAACCAATTTTGAAATTTGTTTTTGAAAATCTAGACCCTCAGTAATTCTAAAAGAAGGGGAAAACAGCCTCCCAAACTTTCAGAAAACATAATAGTCATTATTGGCATACACTGATGTGAGTAGAACATCCTGTTGCATGCTGTACAAACTCAAGAACTCAAAGTCTGTGTCTGAGAAAAGCCAGTAACTCCAAACTCGATTAAAATTCTAAACCACGACTGAACAGCTGTATTTGACTCAAAAATAAAATCACTGTACACAATGTGCTACCTATTTAAAAAAAAAAAAATTACTGGGTATCTTAAGAAATTGTGCCTGCTGATCATGAACTAAATAATCAATTCTCCTTGTTGAAATACTTGCTGAAATTTTGTAGAAGTAATAACGGCAGTAACAATTATCACCAAACAGCTGATCAGGGGTAAGGGAGAGTCTTTCTATTGGTAACTCAGATATTTTCTGTTTAATTTATAACAGTCATAATTTTTAGCTGATCATACACATTGTTATTAGAAATTCTCAACTTAAGGGGGAGAGGTTATCCAATAAGTTCTAGAGTTAATTGATAAACATGTTACCTGATAGTTCCCACTAAGAGAAAAGGCAGATACCAGTACCAAGATACAAATAGTGCATGAAAGAAAACCAGTGAACCTTAAATCTAATTTAGGGCCACTTTGCCACTAAGACACTCATTTCTGATGGATGAGAGAAGAGTTTGTCACACACCACAATGATCTGCTCCTTGTTTTTTCTGCTCACACTTCTTGGGCATCTGAGCCTGCAAACCTGGGACCGCAGTCACACACCCTGCCCCAGGCAAAAACAGGCAGAAGGTTTCCAGGAGGAAACCTCAGCTCACAGCACTGAAGTTCACACTCATGTGTTGGTAACCCTGCTCCCAACAGCAAAGGAAGATGCTCCAAGAGCATCTGCTGCCTCCTTGCCAGCCTAGGGCTGTATCACACATGTCCCAGCTGGCTCCAGGGGAGAGGGGTTACCACCTGCCTTCTCCTGACTGGGCAGGTTGTGGAAATGACGATGCTAACAGAGAAAATTAAATATCAACAGGACTAAAATTTAGACTTTTGGGAAAATCTAGATGCATACCTAAAGAACTACTGTGAAAATTTTATTTGATGTTATATTGCTTTGCCTGCAGAAGACCTATTACATCCTCACTAAACAATGCAGAAAATCTAGGTAAGAAAACTGCTTTCCTCCTCAACTTGCAGCAATATTTGTGGAAAAGTAATTTTTCATGGTGTTGTACTTGTATCTGTGTAGGTGATACGTGTTACTGATAAGAGGAAATGAAAATTCTCATTTAAAGCTTTTGTGTCAAGATCAATTCCACAGGCTGAATACAGGTTTTGAATACATAACACTGGGAATCCAAATGATGTTTAGACCTCAGCTGGCTACTCTTTAATCAGAGCCAAACTAAACACTCAAACTATATACATACAGATATATATATATATGCTGTAAAACCTAAGGTAAAACTGCTAAGGTAATTTTGGCTTCAAAATCTGAAATATCTTGGAGTGTGTTGGTTGTTTTGACTACTGTCACATGTGATAGGCATTGACTGTTTAATGTGTTTTACAAGGACAAATTTCTACTGCATATTACTTTCTGAAAAGAATAATCCTTCTCTTTAAAAACAGCTTAAATAAGAAATAGGAAAATCAGTGACCCAGCTAAATACAATTTGGAGTTTATTTCCTGCAGAGATTGATCTCATAGTCTGTTTGGAGGACTGCAGCTGCTTCTCTGGGGAACAGTTACACAAAATGCTAACAATAAAATCAAATTAATTATTAACACAAAAATTTTAAACGATATTATAAATACTTTTTAGTCTTCATGAAAACATCATCAGTACTTGGGTTTGGAGAGGGGCTTGTAGGTCATTGACTTTATTGTTTATACCCTTTATCCTGGCTCAAGTTAATTTTCTGTGCAGTCCCATTTAGACATACTTCATTCAAGACATCTTGAATGTGCAAGAATTTAGAGAGAACAATTTGAAGGCTGGGCTAGATCATGTACTGATGGAAATGTGGCACCCACTGAGATGAATGTGGCATCAGCAAAGTCTGAAACTTGTTCAATCTTCACTGAAGTCCACATGAGTTTCCCACTGATTCTTACCTCAGATAACTCCAAATCATCCCACACCAAATCACACCAAGAGCTGCACATCTCAGTGGCAGCAAGGGAGGGATCTGAACCCTGCCTACAGTTGTTATATCATCTCTTCCTTATGCAGGGACCACAGACCAATTCACAATGATCTATAAATACTACACTGTCTTTTGACCTCCTGTAACTGTATTGAAGACATTTCATACCACTTCAGCAGAAGTTTCTATAAAAGCCCAAAGTCTCAGGAGCTGGAGGAAAAGTGTGCAACACTGATGGCTGGTGTGCAGCCTAACAATTTATTTGGGAAAGGATTTAAGTGTTTAGAAATGTTCACCAAATATATTTCACTAGTATATTCCTCCAGATAAAGTGAGAAGGCCAGTAAGCCAGGGCCAAAAGAGAATTAGGACTACTTTGTCTGGAATGCTGGTCTGGACTGAGGCACCAGTAGAGTCCTGATGGTGGTGCAGCAGAAGGGACATACCTGTTTGTCAGCGGCCCTATGAAGGGGTTGGTCAGCAGCTGCACTGTGGCTTTTGAAGCAAACAGGAGCCCAACTCGAACATTTTCATTCAGCAGCTCCTTATCATCCCTGGGGCAGTCAGACGGGGCAGGAGTCACATTCACTATCATCTGTTCTGTCTGAGTGGGATGCAGCTCGCTGGGTTGGGTCTTATCGGATTCATTTCCCGTAACCATCGTTGTGTTGTCGTAGTAGGAGAAGATGCTCTGAAAACTGTCCATGGTTGCTGAGATCAGCTTGGGCTTGGTAGTCTGGATTTCTGTGGCATTTTTCTCGTGTTCGATGCTGTAAAGGTAACTGGGAATTATTGGCACTGGAAAAACAAATAGAAGATGTTGGCACCTTACAATCAGGTTGTTTGTAAATGGAATCATCAAACTTTCTTGCTTGATTTGCCATTGATTAGGAAATGCAAGGCTTTTGTACAGAGCACATTAATGTTTTGAATGGCAGGAAGGCAGAACTCAAAGAGAAATTTGCTCATGGGAAAAAACACGCCCATAACTAAGAAGTGTAGTTTAAAACAAAAAGTTCTTTTACATTCGTCTTTATTTTTTGCCACTTTTCATAAATTTTTTATACAGATATCATTAAGTGAAGTATAAGAAGTATCAAACCCCAAATATGAAGTCTCTTTGTTGTACATGACTGTACAAATCCTTTTATTAGATTATGAAAACATGAATGATGAGAAAAGCATTGGAACTATTATTAAACCAAAATATAAAAGATACAAAACCCCACATTTTTAAAATAAACCATAAAAATATTGAGGAGTAACAGCCATAAGAAGGAAAAACAACACTCCTATATTAAATAATCAGAACTAATATGTTGATGCTTGCATATCTCATTATTTTTTAATAACATACAATGAAGAGATCAGTCAGAAGGAACCTTCTTTATACACTCTATGATCTTAGCTGCAATTTATTTGTATTAATATGTATTATGAATAATACATATATAATATATATTATTAATAAAAGTAATAATTCAGAAACTAGCATTTCAGAATTTGTAAAAGCAGATGTCAGGTTCGTTTATTTTGACACTAGTGACAGAATCACCCCTTCCCATCTTGTGTCTCTTCCTGAAAAAGCCCACCCTCTGAAGTCTGTAAACTGTAATGATTTCTAGGGCTTCTAGCATACATATTACTAAACAACTAATTAAATATTAATGTTTTTAAAGAAAGTATATTCATGTTAAAAAAAAATCCAAAATCAGCTTGCTAAAAATAGGTATGTTTCCAGCTTTTATCTTTTAAGCTGAAGCCCCCCAAGAAATTCAGGAGTCTGATTCAGAAGCTGACTCTGCAGCATCATCCGAGAGCTGGCTCTGTACAGACCAAGTCACTTCCAAGAGAAGCATGTGCATTCATACGTGTATGTGTGCACATCCCTGAGCCACTAGTTTCTCTGAACCTTTTTCTTTAAAGTCATACAAACATTTGAATGTGAGGACTTCTAAAACTACCAGTGTTCAACTGTATTATTTGAGTGAATTCCTGAATCTTGACCCTATGCCACTGAAGCCATTAAAAGTTACATCTTTGATCAAAACTTGGATTATTTTATTAAACTAACTCATAGAAGTTCTTTTCTTAAAACCCAGTTAGATAGTTTTCTTATTAACCTATCATTTTAAGACCAATGTGGGGGAATGAGGAACTATCACCAGGAAACAGGCACCTCCAGTGTTATCTAGCCTGTTGTTTCAGCTGCATGACCACAGGAGAAAAAACAGTGGTGAGCTAAAAATACTGTTATCTGTCGTTCTGTGAATAGGGGGACAAAAAGAAGAAAGAAAAAAAAAAAGTTAGAGACCTTTTTATACCATTCCTTGTCCTGCAATTAATATGGAAATAAAGCGAGACTGACGTCCACGGCGATGGGTTTGCAATACCTAGAACACAATTTGTGTTTTTAAAAAATAATTTAAAAATCAGTGCTTGAAAACGATGGGTTTGAGAGCATTAATCGGTCATTCCGGGAGTACATCTGTCACTGGAGATTATTTCAGCCATAAACCGGGAGAGGAAAACAAACCCAAGCCCGTTGCACCTACCGACCACGGTCAGCAGCATGTTGTCCAGGAGCAGGGCGATGAAGACGATGAGCAGGATGAGTTTGCGGGACTGCCGGCTCTCCCGCAGCCAGCGGAGGAGCCCGAGCTCGCCCCAAGCCATGGTCCGGTCCGGCTGCGGGCACACGGAGGGGTCGGGCCGGGCGGACAAGGGCGGCAGCTCCGCTCCTGGACCGCTCCTGGACCGCTCCCGCTCCCGCACCGCTCCCGGCCGCTCCCGCCGCTCGTTGCCAGCCGGCAGGGCAGGAGCGGGGAGGAGGAGGAGGAGAGGGAGGAAGGGGAGGGCGAGGAGGCGGCACCTCTGGTCCGCGTCTGAGCCCGGGGAGCGCTGGAAGCGGCGCGGGGCGGGGGGGACTCCCCTGCGATCTCCTCCTCTCCCCGTTCCAGGCAGGGATGCTCCGGGATAAGCAGCGGGCTGCGGGTCAGGCTGCAGAGCCACACCAGCCCTCTGTGTGCCCGTGAGGTTGTGCCGAAACAGGTGCGGGGGGAGAAGTCGCAGCTGATGCACTTCAGCGCCCATCAGTGTGGGCTGTTGGTGAGCCACGTGAAACAACTGCCACTGATTGATTCTCTCCCTAAAATCAGGAAGTCTGTAGAATCATAGAATATGCTGGGTTAGAAAGTACACCTCAGGATCTTTGAGTCCAGTTTCTGGCTCTATGCAGGACACCCCAAGAATCACACTGTGTGCCTGTGAGAGTTGTCCCTGTGCCTCTTGAGCTCTGTCAGTCTTGAGGGGCTGTGACCACTTCTCTGGGGAGACTATTCCAGTGCCCAGACACTCTCTGAGCAAAAAATCCAATCTAAACCTCCCCTGACTCAGCTTCATGCCATTCCTGTGAGTCCTGTCACTGGTCACGAGAGTGAAGAGATCGGTACCTGCCCCTCCACTTCCCCTCATGAGGGTGTTAAAGACCACAATGAGGTCTCCCCTCAGTTTTTCTTGTCTGCCCTGCATGGCATTCCAAGGGTTTGGCTCAGCCTTATTGGTTTCTTCTCAGTTTATATTAGAAAAGAGATTGACCACATTGAACTGACCACGAAACAAAGGTTTGTGTTCTTGAAAAACTTTCTTTTATATGACATAACACAATACTTTTCACCCAGCGCTGAACTTTGTGAACTGTTCCTTGCCGTACTGTCTTCACTTTGCTTCACTTTTGGAAAAGCCCACTGAATGGGAGGGAAGACTCTTGAGGAGTTCAATAGCCCCAGATCCAAATGTCACCCTGAAGGTCAGGACATCATCACTATGCAAGCCGTTTGGTTCTGTAGCTACGTTTGTCGGCTGTGCATGTGAATCAGTTCAGTGGTGTCCATTTTCAGGGTGATGGGATTTCACTACCAATGCAGATTTCACAGGAAGCAGTGCTCAAACTTATACTATGGGCCTATGTGGCAGCAGTCATTTCATGCTGTAAACACCCACTTTGAGAACAAAAGGCATTTACACTGGAAATTTACCAATGTCAGTAACAGTAGAAGATAATTGTTTATGGTCTAAATTGCTGTCTTAGGTCTTAATCCATCTCTGAGTGAAGTTTAACAGGCCTTGGGAATGGGAGTAAATTTTCAGTTCAGTGAGTTATTGTCTATACACAGATGTTTCTAAAAAGAATGAAAGGTGGGAGAGCATGTGCTGACAGCTCACCTCTCTTTTGTTTGCTTGCAGGTAGTTTGGATTTTATTTGACTTGTCCACCATGTATTATTTTCATATGGAACCTGTTATGCTAGTACATGACAAGTATCACCCAAGGCTATTAATAAGCTATTGATTCTTGAATGATGGCTTATAATTGGTTTGGGGTGTTTTTTTAACCAGCAGGAGTTGGACACATTCACATTTGAAGCTGAATTTCCAAAATGGGACTTCTGTACTCAGGGGAAATATAAAAGTACAATCTACTGAAAGAGAATGTTTCATCTTCAGAGTATCAAATCCTGAAGTCACTTAGCCAACAAACGACATTGTTTAGTTGAGAACTTGCATGGATTGCAGTAGAAGGGGAGTACCAGCTCTGGTCAGCAGTAGCAGCAGCATTAATATGGGATGCATGTCACTGGAATGTCAGTGGCAACATTCTACCAGGAAAACATTGGTTTGGGTATTTTGTATTCCCAGCAGTTCACAGGAGAGTTCATTGACAGTGGTGCTGTTGTTTTCATCACCTGTCAAAAAGCAGATGTGGAGAGAAATAATATGCTTTTCCAACCATTTCTGATGAGGGACATGACTGTAGAAGCAATTTATTTCCATCTCTATGCACCATCAACATGAGAAGGTGAACTTCCCCTTCCTCCTTTCTCCCATCCCAGTCCTTTCCTCTGGGATGTTTCTCCTCCTCATCCATCCATCACTGTTGTGCTGACACACACACTGACAGCATCTGCTCACTTTGCTGGACTTCTACATCACTCCTCTTTTCTACCCTCCTGGTTTCACTTGCTTTCAGCTAATTGACTGTTTGATAAATAATACTAAAATATATATGGAAAACCATGCCTGTGCAATTAGCATGGATAAGCGGGAGAGCATTTGGAAACGTTTCCTTGAATGTAAAGATGCCTACTTGTGCCTGGATATTATTGCTTTACTAATCTAGCTGATGAAATTGTGGTTCCCTCTAGGAGGTGAGCAGGTCAGAAGCCCGCTAGGTTTGCTACTCTGCAGGTGTACCCTGTGTTCTGGTAAATAATGGTTCCTTTATCAATATCTATTTATCTTTAATCAGTCATCTTTGTGTCTACTGAAAACCAAGCAGAAAAGGAATAGGACCACAGCCAAATAAGCTGTTGATGATTTGGTTTTCTTATTGAACTTTTTACTGTTATATAATTTTTAATTCAGAGTGTTCAAAAAAGAGGGTAGAAAAGCCATGGGATTTTTTTTCAGGTGTTATTTGAGCTTTCAACAGAACATTTGAGCAAAATTTCATGCTATGAAAAATGCTGTGCAGCTCCATCTCTTTTGTTAAGTCTCTACTTTTTATTTGCTTTCTCTATCCCTTAAGCTATACAAGTGCTTATTAAGCTTATTATGCCCATACTTAATAATATTATCGCTTTGTTAACTTTAATAAAAAATTAATGAGAAACTTATAAAAATAAATTGGAATAAGATATATACTCTGAAATTAGTTCCAAAAGCATATATTAGAAATAATAATTTTAGAAATAATGGTTGTGGAAATAAAAATTTTGAGGACTTGTAAATACTTTCCTCTGAGTCAAACACCCCCAAGCCATGTCAGGTTTAAAGGCATGGAGCAGCAGAAGCTGATAATGAATAGAAGTGTTTAGGTGTGGCATCTGGCTCCCAGGCTTTGGCAGACTGAGTGGCAGGTTGTCCTGAACCACTTCTGCTGTGCACAGAGCCTGCATAGCCCAGGGAGCTGCACGGAGCAGTGAAATGCCCATGTGCACACAGGCAATGACACTGCAAATGATCCCCAGCCCGGAAATTGTCTCAGGGAATAGCACTTATCAGCAGTCAAAATTTCGACCTCAGCTGAAAAATCCTCTGAATCAAGATGTCCTGGATGTCCTCATGGGAAGCATCACAGTGCCATTCGTCGGGAACTGCAGTGATAGGGCCAGGGGAATGGATTCTAATTGAAAGAAAAGAGGTTTAAATCAGATATTAGGAGGAAGTTTTTCCCTGGGAGCGTGGGGAGGACCTGGCACAGGTTGTTCAGAGAAGCTGTGCCTGCCCCAACCCTGCAAGTGTTCAAGGCCACGTTGGATGGAGCTCTGAGCAACCTGAGATAGTGGAAGGTGTCTCTGCCCTTGACAGGGGGGTTGGAAGTGGGTGATCTTTAAGATCCGTTCAACTCAAACCATTCCAGGATTCTATAGCAAGCACCAGGGAGAAGTGGCATTTTGCTCATTTACCTACAGGTTCCTTAAATGCTGAAATTTAGAAAAAGACATTTCTGGTTCTCATAACCCAGGCTGAGAAATGCACTACTTTGCTGGCTTCTTTAGTAAAAGTATCCCTTTTAAAGCTGTCACTTTTTAAGATTTACATTTATTTTTAGTGCTTAGAGTTTAATTTGCAATAATTCATAATTAACTTAGCTTTCTGTATGAATTAATCATTTGCAGTTATTGCTATTGGGGAAAATTCCTGCTATAAATAATTCTTACAATTTAAGTTGGAAGACATACCTGGCAGCTTATGTTTGGCTAATAACAAGTAATATACTTCGTCAGCTTTTTCACCCTTTGCAGCTCTTTCCAGACTTTTTTAATCTGTGCCCGACAGTCATGCTGCTAATTACTGTGTAGTAATGCTGTGTGGTTCCACTGAATAATGCATCTCCTCCAGGCTTTGAGGGTATGAATTGTATTTATCTACCACGTAACCTACAGAAAGTGTATGTGTGAATGTGTATATCGAGATATAGATATAGATGTGGTTGCTCACTATGGCATGTAATATTCAGAGGAGAGACCAAAAAAAAAGCAGAAATTTTGCTTTTAAGAGAATCACTTACTAATTCATCTATAATGTTAAACATTTATTTAGCTGAACAACAGTGCATGTGATAACCAGGTCTAACACAGCAAGGGGATAATTTTTAAAGCTGGAAAGGCTTGGGGTGGAGAAAAGGTTTTGTGGAAGAAGAGATATTACACAACTCATGTGTCTCTGCTAAAAAGGAGTAAAATATCACTTGGTTCCCTTTGCGTAGAAAAAACCAGTGTTAATTTTAATGTCAGAATATAGGGCTGACGTCTCCCCATGCACCCAGGTACTGTGCAGGGTGTTTTTACAGATGCAGGAAGGCATCTGTAGTGTAACAGGAGGAGATGAAGATATGAACATAAATAGGTGATGCTTTGTCGTGGTGTTTATTGGAGATTATAGACATATAAAAGGGTCATGCACAAAATCCTAGACTGCAATACATAATAACATAGGCTACCTACATGCAGCTAATAATTTAACCTGTTAAAAAGTACGGGTTTTCAGGTTAGGGCACTGATTTTAAAATATGGTTAACACATGGTCTTGACCCAAAATAGCAATGGCAGTCTGATATGCTTTTCCTTCAGGTTTGCTCTGTACCATTCATGCTGAAAACAAACAAAATCAAGAGCTGATATGACTGGGGAAC